CTAATTAATGGAATGCGTTCGTTTTTTTTCTTTTTTTTGATAATAATTCAGGTATATTATTAATGGCTATAGAAAATATAAAGCTAAATTCTAATTTCTAATTTCTGCAAAATATTTTAATTGATATTGAAGTAAACTAGGTTTTGATTATGTTTTTTTATTATTGATTTTTGAAAAAAATTTTTTTTTATTAGTTTGATTGAATAATACTCGTACAGTAAAGAAATGAAACAAACATGCATAAAGAAATTTTTTCTGTAACATTTAAACTTTCCAGCATTTTGTGATGTGATGACAGGATTGGCTATACAATCCTGACAATGTGACTAATAATGGCGGACATTTTAGGTGTAAATAAATTAAATTTAGGAAATTGAAAAAATAAAAGGAAACGATAGCATTATAACAATTCATCGAGCTTTTCAATATGTTAAAACTTTAAGCTATTATCGCCAAATTACTATCAATGAAATTGTGATTCATTAACAATATGCAATGAATAATTTTATGAATTACAAGATGATAAAAAGAAATTACGCAGTCTATTATGATAAGAAGAGATTACGCAATTTGAATGAAAATCCAAGTGATTTTAATAACTGATATCATCACAATCACCCAATAATCTAATTTTAATGATATCATTCATATATGATCTCTCGTAGTATAAGCCAAATAAATATCTTTCAATTATTTATTGTTTTTACTGGATTGTGAACTATCCTTTAATTTGATGAAATAGTCTTTGAAGAAAGTAAACAATCTTATGCAAATGAAAGAGTGCTGAATATATTTGTATATTGAACGCTCTCCCTTATCGCTCATTCTATGTATTTGCGAAAGATAGAAATTGGTTTATAATATTACCCGGTTAGCACCACTCAATGGTCATTCGGTCAACAAATCAATGATTCTCTCTACTTTACAATTTCATCGTACCATAATCAAGTCCACTTTGTGCTGCTCACAAATTGTTATTATTATAACCTTATAAATCAGATGATCATACTTTGCTTATGTTTGATTTTATGTGAAAATCAAATACTAACCAAACTCCCGCATTCATCCAAATATGTTTGAATTGAAGAAGAGCTAAGAATGTTAGCAACAAATTTTAAATGAAAGCATAATAGCTATATATGTTTGAAATATTGTAAATTATCATTACTAACTATTCAGGAATTTTTCGTTCATTTTAATTAGTTAATATCAAGTGGAATTATAAATTTTGCAAATGTCTTTATCATTCATCTTCAAATCATCAAATCTTCGACAATTTAATTCTTTTTTTCCATTTGCAAAAGCTATTTTAAACATAAGACAAAGCTTTACATTCATCAATCTGATCAACTGAAATCCAAAAAATAATTTCCGATGCTAAGTGAAAAAAGTTGCGTAATTTTCGCAAGTTTTATTTCACTTTTGTCAAACTAACTGATATTCAGAATAAAAAAAAGTCGTTAAAATTTTACCATTGAAATATTTGAATTCAGTCAACTGAATGTTAGAATCAGATGTCACAATTTTTTTATGCCTTTCGTGGTCTTCACGCTTATCCTTCTTAACTTCTTTAAGTTTAATTTACATATTTCCTTTCCAGAACAGAGTCAACTCTCACATCATATTAAGTTATCCCTTGTAAATATAGCTCAACTTTGCTTCCATTGGAATTATTGACATTTTATTTGCAATTTTTATCAAAATATGCTCAATGTTTTCTCTTCTGTAAATTGAATAAATCATTTTTGTTTTATTTAAAAATTTATTTAAAAAAAAAAAATGAAATTAATCAACAATGACAACAAAAAATATATATATGGCAACTTGGCAAGAAATATTGTTTCGACATTCAGATATGACTTAAAAATATACCCTACAAAGAAGAAAAATTATTCCTTTTCTCCTCAATTCATTCCATCATCCATCAATCGATCTATTTGTACAACTGAACAAAGTAAATACATCATCGTTATACATGAGGCTTTTACTGTTTTTACCGCTTATTATCAACAATTTGCTGTTAAAATGTTTGATTTCATAAAAAAGGAAAAAAAAAGAGCAGATAAAAAAATTCCATAACTTTTCTTCAATTCACTAATTAATCCACCAGAATTGTAACAAACAAACAAACAAACAAACAAAAATTTAGAAAATTGGGTAAAGAAAACGGAAGAGGGCAAAAAAGAGATATGAGACAACTGATAGCAGCCTCACTACAATTGATTACTGCCAGTGATAGAAATTTTAAAAAAAGAAAAACATTTCAATACAAAAATTAATAGAAAAGAAAAACATAAACAGAGGCCTCTAATGAATTTTTTTTAGGCACTACATCGCTCAAAGACATAATATACCATCATTATATATACAAAAAGCTAAAAAAAAAAATAAGCACATATAAAGCGCACCGTGTAATTTTCTAATCCCATGTTAAATCACGCTATTTTTAGTGTTTTCCAAAATAAATAATTCTGTATTTAATTTGATCACTTTCAAATAAATCCTAATTATTATTAAAATTAAAATTTGTTCGAAAATTATCGTTTTTTTTTTTTAAAATAATATCAACAAAATGATATTTCTATCCAGCGTAAGATATGGGAGATGCCGGGGGATGATGTGGTTGGGGAAGGAGCTTACATATCTCTGGAAGGAGGAGTAAAAAAATGAATCGTCCAAAATGACATTTGAGCAAAATACAATTTACCAAAACTGTCAAATAGAACAGATGGCAAAAAAATACAAAAAAAAGAAAACATTTCAAAAATACAATATATATTGATTACTAATACATTTTTTTAAGTAAAATCTTTTACAAAAACAAAAAAGAAATTAGATGTAACGAACTTTGTCAAATTTAATCCTCAAAAATAGAATAGGTTGATTAAAATGTTCATGTTTATAAATAATTATTTGATATTTCACGGGCGAAAAAAAAATTGTTGGAAATTTTGTTGGAGATAGGGAGGCTGGAAGGAAGAATGGAAGAGTATGTGATGACAGGTGGCACCTGAGCAAATAAACAATTAAACAAACAAACAAACAAACAAACAAACGAATATTGCAATTGAATTCTATTTCAAAATTAAAAGAATATCAGAAATCTTTTGGAAACGGTACAACCGGTGTTTTTAAACTTTCCGGACTACGGCTTACAAAATTGCTACGACCATAGGTTGGACAACCGTTACCGTTTAAATTCATAGCAGCACCAAGAAATGGCATTAATGGTGACATCATTGCTGCTGTAGCCATTGCTGCCATATGAGATGGATTTGGTGGAAATTGAAAGATTGGTTGTTGAAGGCTAGCGGTTGTTGGAGTTAATTTAGAAGCAGCCATCGGTGATCCTAAAGCTCCAAGCATTGGGCTTACAGCTGTTGTAAGTAATGATGTAAATGGACTCGTTGGACATAAACCAGCAGAGAGTGAAGCAGCTGCATAAAGTTGACTGAATTGAGTGACCAGAGGTGATGTATTCGTGTACGCATTACCTGTATTGTTATGGAGGAAAAAAGGTGAAGGTACCAGTAGATTATTGGATGATGATGATGATGATGATGACAATTCGGATCCATTCGAGAATGCTGCTGTAGCAGAAAGATTAAGTGGACGTGGTTTAACCCGTTTCAATGAAGGTATTTGGGTACCATGTGTTTCACTTCGACTATCCGTTATTGTCGCTGAGGGATTTGATGGATATGATAGTGATTTCGACAAGGGCATATTAGATGATGGAAGTGTTGAAGATGGTGATGATACCATCGTGGTGGTTGTTTCAGGAGCGCTACAACTGAACATCGGTGTTTTCCTCTTTCTGCATATCACTCCAACATCAGCATTTGTATTGATTGCATTCGGGTAAGCACCACCACATGGTGGAGAACAACTTACCGATACACCGCCATATGAACATTGTCCACTGGTGGAAGGTATTGAGGAAAAATCCGGTGCTGCTACTGCTACTGCTGCTCCTGTTGTGGTATTCATTGTTGTCCTCATTCCCGGTGTATCACTTCCATCTATTGATGTAAGTACACTATCGGTTGTCACTTCTAATCCAACATTACTTTCTGCATTCTTTGTGCTGAAATGATGATGAAAATCTCCAAAATATGAGCAAAAAAAAATTCCATACTTGTATATTTCATGCTTAAGAAATTTTTTTTTTCTTGCACTGAACTATAATTTGACAAATCATTAACAATTTTCGTCCTTTCCAATCCCGACATGTTAATTTTGCATTTTCATCTTGGAAAACTAAGCGATGCAAAATAAAATAATATAATACCTTGCGGAAGGTGAAGCACTCATATTGGAAATACAAATGGCTTGCATGGTTTGTGCATCAATAACACCTGAACCAGGAATCACTGATGATGGAACAGCTGGTGAGCTACTACTTCGCATTAAGTTATGACAGTCTGCTGAAATTTCACATAAAATTTGCCACTTTATAGAAAATCAAAAAAAAAATTTTCTCAAATAATTAATTCATCATTTCTTTTATAGAATTTAATTTAATTAAAATGTGATAAAATAAAATAAAGCAAAGTAAATGCTTTTGAAAAAGATTTATTCATTTGATCA